TTCGTATTCAGACAGTGCACTGTCTGAATACGAAGCAGAATCGCTACACTGCAGTGTAGCGATTAGTGTAGCGATTCTGCTTTCGAGCAATAAACAGCAAGACCTTTCAGAAAGGCTCTGTTCACTGTGGTTTTAAACATTCGGGCTTGAAGATGCCAGATACGACGTATAGTGAAAATGACGCCATTTGGAAGTGCAACACGTCAGAAACAACTAAGAGTATGGATGCATCGACTATACTTTTTAATGTTACAATGAAAATGAAGATTATGAGGACGCAATTGTTCAACACATTGCGGCAAAACACCAAAATACATCAGAAGACCAGGAAAGTAATGAGAACGACACACCTGAGCTTGAGCGATGTGTCCCAATTACTGGAATCCACTGTATATGTGACTATTAATATGAAAATGCCGGTCAGAGTGGCCACGCTCTCTGAGGAGTGGGTTTCCTGCGCTTGGACACTGGGACCTTGGGTTCGAATCCCATTCAAGCCATTGATGTTTGTCCACGTTTTTCTGTGTAGTGCTCTCCTGTGTACAGGTAGAGGCCTAGCGACGATTTGATCACTCGTTCAAGAAGTCCTACCAAATGTTTAAATAGATCAAGAAACCTCCGAAAGGAGGCCCATATGCTCCACATAGGAGCGAAAAAATACGAACAAGAAGGAAAAGATTTTGGAGACATTTTAGTCACGTTAAGTCTCTTATTAATCCATTTTAGAGGGAGGCATTTTGTTCACCTCTATCTTATAGATGTTTCTAAAGGAAAAATTAGTTTCTCATCTGTTTTGAATACTGTTGGTGTACTCATAACCACTAGGTCAATAAGTATAGTAAATCTATGAGCTGTCATCACCAGAAACGTTTTATGAAAATATTTTCGTCTTCAAAAAAGACACCACAAATTGCAAACGCGAAGCTTTCGGATCCAGTAAACTTGATCATGATATTAAATTTAATCGTCAGCGCAGAGGAACGTAATGTCGAGACCTCAGTAATTCGTCAGAGTGAACTGCATGCGACTTCAGTGCAAGTTTAGATGAAGAGAAATGTACTAGATGCTGTGCCATACCTCGGGTGTTTTTAAACTTTTCCAAACCAGGGACCATACTCTAATATTTCTGTACAGACCGACACGAACGAAGACAGGTGGCGCAGAGAAAGAAATATATGTACAATGGTGGCTGCTTCATGCTTGAAACAACAGAATAATTTGTACATAAACTTTCTGAAACTGTCACAACGGAAGTGACAATAGATATGCAGAGGCTTTCAAAACTCGTCTGCTATCGTTAATGTTGGTCGTTTAAAAAACTGTTTGTTTGTTAAAACTGCTACTAAATTAGTCCTATTGTTGGAGACAGTTTCACATTTTACTCAGTTTCCTGTGACAGTATCCATCATTGGTGAGGTATTTGACACTGCTTTTTCATGTGAATTATTTCAATATCAGGTTTAATTTTTGTGGTTGTACCCTTCAAAGATTTCAAAAATAAGATACGGCCTGTAGTAGCCGTCACCAAATTGAATGATTCAGTGCCGCAAAGTACGTCACATGTCTACCCCGCATTTCTAAGTGATCAATAGAGTAATATTTTTCTCTACTACGCTGCGAGTGCTGCGATGTAGTGACTCGCCTGTGATCCCGTATTCGTGTTACAGCGCTGTACTATTTCTTGTAGCCTCGAAGCACGTAATTCGATAACAGCTGTTGTTGTTTCTATTTGATGATTATTATTAAGCTTATCAGTTGTTCACAGCAACAGGTACTGTGAAACACTCCCAAAATGACAAAGCGGTCTCTTTGACCTAAGCTGTCATAGTGTTACTAAAAGCATACACACGAAGCTCAGAAAACATCGGTGGACCTGTTGACAAGCCCTGGTATAGCCAAAGAACAGATATTTCTGAAGTGTGTAGGAAGATTTGAAAGGAAAGTAATCTCTAGATATTTATTCATTTACTCTTCAGTGTACAATTCAAATTTTACCTGAAATCTTCAATAACGAGTAACCAAATTTGTTGCTGTGGAATTAAATTTACGAAAACCATGCTGTGAGGGATTTAATCTGTACTTAAAAATTTTTTCCAAGTGATCATAAACAATAAGTTCAAATATTTTAGAAAAGTTATTAAGAATAGAGATGGGTCTATAATTACTAACAATGGAACTGTTGCCTTTTTTAAACACAGGAACAACAGCTGTTTCTTTCCACAGGGATGGAAAGGTGGCACTAGTTGCACTAAAATTAAAAATATAGGTTAATAAGGGAGTGAAAATAACAGAACAACCCTTAATTACTAACGAAGGAATTCCATCTAACCCCACACACTTTGAGGGTCTGAGGCGCTTGATCGCCTTGCTAACTTCAGCAGGAGAGATAGGAGCGGCGGGCAAAAAATCAGAAGTAAAAGTATCGGTAGGAGTGACGGACCGGCAAGAAGTGTTAAAAATTGATTCAAAATGCGTAGCAAATTCATCAGCAATGTGTTTGGGGCCAGTGACAAACTGATCACCAATTTAATGAAGATGGCTGTCTTCTGAGTTATAGCGCCGTAGTCGTGCTGATAATGGAGGCATCAGGTACTTGTGAAACTTCGGAAGAATTCTACAAGACTTCACGGCACTACAAACCAGAAGGCAGTGAGAACCTCAAAATCTCCACAACAAGCTGGGATACGTAACGAAGTCCATAGTTCATAGTTCATAGTCCATAGTCATTCTAGAAATTAGAAAATTTTCAGCTAGTCAGATTATTTGTCTTTTATGATACCCTAAGATCCATTTCCGAGGTCATTATAACCCCTCCTCCCCCCCGGTACTACCCTGATGATTGAATCCAGCTTATGCACTCAAACTAGATTTCTTTATTTATTCTTCCTTCTGTGCCTAGATGATAACAATATGGAACTTAACATAGAGAAAATCAAAATTATATCGTTCGCACTTAAAACTAACAGTATTCATTTTAATTAATTTGTTAGTTAATCTTGCGTCGTCGTCAAACAATTTGTAGCCAAACAATTATGTCGTCAAACATTACTCGGCATTGTTGTGTTGGTATACC